CGCATCTAATACACATTAAGAAATAAATTCATTACAATTCATTGAATATATATGTAAATTCTATATAAAATATGTGAACCATTTTTATCAAAGATGGATTATACTATTATTATCTTGTAGATTACCATATTTATCTATCTTAAATGAATTATTAGAGCACACAATTTGATGATCTTCATACTTTTATTCATTATTGTAGCCAGAGTAGCAGAAGTAGGGTATACGCTAGAGAGTGATAAGTTGGAGATTAGAAAATAGGAGAGATGGAATAAGCTTTTCTGCATTTCATTCATTGACCAAATAATGAAGCCTTAGTAATTTTTTTTAAATTTTATATAAGGTTGACTGTAACTTACTATTTTATTGAAGGAGAATTGGGAAATGCATTGGGCCCTGAAAATCTCATAATTTGGGGATGTCACCATCTTCTAGAAAGCCAAAATCCATGAGGATCCGCATGATTCTTCGATTCAGCCATCCATAACAATCAAATCGTGATTCACAATTTCTTTCTAAGGATTGATCAAATGCTTTACTATTATAAACATATTTCTCAAGGCTTCATTTAGGGAGAGCTTCCTTTATTAATTTTTAAAACTCAGTTTTTTAAGTACTAGAAATTTATTAGCTCAAAAATTTTTGGTACTGAAAACAGTCTTAAAGAATAGTAAGAAAGTTGTCCAAACGGAGCCAAAGTCATCAACGAAGGAAAGACGGTTTATGACTTTTTACCCCAGTGTTGATCGACAATTTCAATTGAAATGTGACTTCACTAAGGGAAAAGACGGTTTATGGACTTTTTTCCTATGAAGGGTGGCATGAAAGGTTTTGTTTTTCTCGGTTCTGAAAAAATGTTTTTCATCAAAAAGACGGGGTTGTGTTTGTTCATGTCTAGGCTTTTTTCTATCTCCAACTCTAACTGAATCTACGTCGTGACGAATAAATCAATGTCAATCACAGCTAATATTACAAAATATATATCACAATGTTGTCGAGTTCTTTTCTTATTACAACAAACATATATAGTAGTTTCTGAAGAGGATTCATCTTCAATTTCCAATCAATTCCAAGATGAATTCTTGAAGTGCCCTCCAGTCTTGTTGTCTATGACAGCTATCAGGACTCATTTTCCCACTCTTCTTATACATATCTTGATCTCCTGTAAATTCTCATTCTGCCGCTCGATGTGACAATAATTCGAGCTAAGTGTATTATTTCGGTCAATTTCTCTCTTGTTGAGTGCCGAATCGAAGGAGCTGTGATTGTATCCAAAAGTTTTACTTCATAAGATTAGGTCATAAAGTTTTCACTAAAGATATATTACCATAGGATAAAATGTCTGAGCATATGTTCTAATGAGAGAAAGATATGAGACATTCTGTAGCAACATTGAATGTAGCTATAAACTAATACTATTTTCAATTCGAACAACACCTTCAAATTTTTTTTAGAAGAAACCCCCTAACAAACAATATATGAAGAGAAATGCTTTACATTTCATCTTCAAGTAATCTTAATAGGAATAAGACGCTTGTTATGTATAAGGATATTTTTGAACATTTATTTTTATATATATGCATTGGTCAATAAGGACTTTTCTTGGCTGAAGGGTGAGCACTCGAATCTGAGCTATTCAGATTTTTCACAATTATTTCCCAACTAGTGTGCACATAATTTTGTTACGCTAATTCGATCCGTGTCTTACTTAGCCTCTCAAAGTACTTATAGGAGAAAATGAAGGAAAGAATGACAATTTTAAGCACCGAAGTAAAAGAGAGTCTGGCTCTCTGCCAAATTGACAAGCTGAATAACCAAAAAGAAAGAAAAAAATTCAAAAGTCCATATAAAGTTCAATTAACTGTAATTACGTAAAAATATTGGAATATTTTACTATCCTTTGAATATTGATATTCATGATAATCCATTGAATATAATTGAAAGTGCAATGAGTTGAGCTGTTACCCGTATGTGGTAAAGAATTACTTATAAAATCAGCATGAATGGGAAGGGTTTCTTTCTAATAAATACATCGATAGCGAGGAATCTTGTTCATTAATAATGCAAGGGTCCTTGACAATTTCCTTGCCATATACTATATGTGCTCACTAAACCAAGCGCAACAAGCTCGAAGATAAAATGTCAAATATTATAAATACAAAGTTCAAGTTGTAGAAACTAAGAGCCTTCTGAATCTATCTCTTATCTTGTTTGTTTTGTACTTATCTTCTTTTTAAAAAAAATATGTTTGCTTCAAAGGTTTTTTTTTTTTTAATTATTTTAAGTTTCAGGCTTTTGAAAACAACTACATAGAGGCATCCGCATACGAAACCATTTGTCACCCACCGACAAGGCTGCCTGATCACCGCCGAATTAATCACTAATTGCGGCCACCAATCATCACCTCGTCGTTGTCAAAGAAACAGTGGCCATCTTCAATTTTTGTTTACTTGATGTTATGATTTCGTAAGGGAGCGATTCTTAATTATTAAATGATTAGAATTTTTGAATGGTTTAATTATCTTTTTTTCTTTCAGTTAGATAACTATTTAAAGCTCATTTATTATATTTTTTTGAATGTTAAGATCTAGTTTTAGCATAACGTATATTATTATTACTACCAACTTAGATTATATCAAAATCAATATAAATTAAAGATAAAATGATAAAAAATTTCTATATAAATTTTATATCATTATGTTGGTTGACTTGTTCTTTTATTAAATAATACATTTGATGTTATTTATATATTTTTATTATATTATTTATTATTATTATTTATTATTATTATTATGTAATTATTATTATTATTATTATTATTATTATTATTATTGTTCGTTGTTATTTGTTGTCATCGTCATCGTATAACTATTAAAGTTTTGCCACCAATCTAAAAAGGAAGATGTATCCGCCCCTTATTCAACCACTATTGTCCGTGCACTAATGCCATGTACACCACCTAAAGATTGTCGCAACCCCAACGGCCACCGCAAAAATAAACTTATTCGGTATTCAATAAAAACTAAACATGCTAATTTTAAGATGATGACAATTTTTAATTTCATGCAAAATCATAAACAAAATAAAATAAAATAAAAGCAAAAACAAAAGAAACAATGATTCTCAAAACGGCCTCTAAAAAATTCATACTTCAACATTACCTTTCGAAGATCGCCATTAGTCGTTTTTGTAAATTCTTCCTCCAACGACACGCTTGAAAGATCATGGAGGGTCTCTTGACATCTAAGCCCGCCAAAAGTTCTTTTGTGAGATTGATACACCGTCGTCGACGATTACTCTATAGTCTATCGACTCTAACTCCTTCACGAGCTCTAGATCTCACTCTCACATTTCACTAAGAATTGCTCTCTCGCAGAGAGCATCCAAATAATTGCTTTCTGCAAAAAAAACAAATTTGAAAATGTAGGCTCTTTTATCCGCATCGGAAATCATCAATTACCGGCAGTCAAGAACAACACCCACAACTACTGAGAGAGAGATTAGGTTAGACGCGATAACTTGCAGTTCTTATAAAAAAACAGCCGCGAACGGGCAGTAACAATATAGCAATATATAGACAGAATCTTTTCTCTGTCTTGGGCGTTCGCATCTGCACTGGGCGGTTTGGCCTGGGATGATATTGTATAGCTGCCTGAAATTTTCAAAAGCACTGGAAAGTTCCGAGTTATTAGAGATTAAATAATAATAATAATAATAATAATAATAATAATAATAATAATAATAATAATAATAATAATAATAATAATAATAATAATAATAATAATAATAATAATAATAATAATAATAATAATAATAATAATAATAATAATAATAATAATAATAATAATAATAATAATAATAATAATAATAATAATAATAATAATAATAATAATAATAATAATAATAATAATAATAATAATAATAATAATAATAATAATAATAATAATAATAATAATAATAAAAATAATAAAATAACATCAAATGGTATTATTAATAATAAGAACAAGTAACCAACATAATGATATAAAATTTATAATAGAAATTTTTTATCATTTATCTTTTAATTTAATATTGATTTTGATATAATATAAGTTGGAGTATAATAATATACGTTATGCTAAAACTAGATCTTAACATTCAAAAAAATAATAATAAATGAGCTTAATGTTATCTAACTTAAAGAAAAAAAGATAATTAAACCATCAAAAATTCATAATATTTAATAGATTTAAGAATCGCTCCCTTACAAATCATAAATCAATAAAAAATAATTGAAGAGGCACTGGTTCTGACAACGACGATGATGATTGGTGGCCGCAATTAGTGATACTGGGGTGATAGAGCAGTTGTCGGTGGGTGACAATGGTTCTATCGGATGCCTTCTATGGTAGTTGTTTTCAAAAGCCTAAACCCTAAAACTAATTTAAAAAAAAAAACACTTTGAACAAACATATTTTTTTAAAAAAGATAACAAAACAAACAAATAAAATAGATTCAGAAGGCTCTTAGTTTCTACAACTTGATTTTGTATTTATAATATTTGAATTTTTCTTGTAGCTGTTGGTTGGTTTAGTGAGCACATATAGATATGATGGCAAGGAAATTGTCAAGACCCTTGCATTTTATGAAGCAAACATTCTCCATGATGTTATAAGAAAGAAACCCTTCATTCATGATGAGTTTATAAGAATCTTTACCACAAGGAGTAAAGCTCAACTCATTGCAACTTTCAATATATTCAAGGATCATCATGGAATATCAATATCAAAGGTAGTAAAACATATTCAATATTTTTGATATTATCAGTTAATGAATCTTATATGACTTTGATTTTTTTTTTCTTTTTGGTTATCAGGCCTTGTCATTTGGGAGACCAGATCTCTTTACTTCGGTGCTTAAAATTGTCATTCTTTCCTTCATTTCTCCTCATAAGTACTTTGAGAAGGTAAGTAACACGGATCGAAATTATGAACAAAATTCATGGCACACTAGTTGGAAATAAATTTGAAAAATCTGATAGCTCAGATTCGAGTGCTCACCCTTCGTAAAGAAAAGATTATGAACAAAATCATATATATAAAAAATAAATGTTCAAAATATCCTTATAATAAAAGGTTTATCTCCTATTAGAATTACTTAGAAGATGAAATGTAAACATTTCTCTTTCATATATTGTTTGTTAAGGGGTTCTTCTAAAAAAATTTGAAGGTGTTGTAGAATTTGAAAATAGTATTAGTTTATAGCTACATTAATGTTGCTACAAATGTCTCATATCTTTCTCATTAGAACATATTGCTAGAATTTTATCCTTGGTAATATATCTTAAGCTGAAAACTTTATGACCCTAACTTATGAAGAAAACTTTTGGATCAATCATAGCTCCTTCGATCGGCACTCAACAAAGAGAAAATTGACGAAAATACACTTGCTCGAATTATTGTCACTCGAGCGGAGAAAGATTTACAGGAGATCAAAGATATGTATGAAGAGAGTGGGAAAATGAGTCTGATAGCTGCCATAGACAACAAGACTTCAGGGCACTTCAAGAACTTCATCTTGGAATTGATTGGAAATTGAAGATGAAACTCTTCAGAAACTACTTATATGTTTGTTGTAATAAGAAAGAACTCACAACTATTTGATATATTTTTTATATTACTGTTGATGACATTTTGGATTTATTCATACGACGTAGATTCAGTAGAGTTGGAGATAGAAAAAAGCTAGACTGCAACCCGTCTTTTTGATGAAAAAGCATTTTTTCAGAACCGAGAAAAACAAAACTTTCATGCCACCCATGGGAAAAAGTCATAAACCGTCTTTCCCTTAGTGAAGTCACATTTCAATCTGGAAATTGTCAATCAACATGGGGTAAAAGTCATAAACCGTCTTTCCCTTAGTTGATGACTTTGGCTTCGTTTGGAACAACTTTCTTACTATTCTTTAAGACTGTTTTTCAGTACAAAAATTTTTTGAGCTATAAATTTTTATACTAAAAAGCTGTTTTAAAAATAATAAGGAAGCTCTCCCAAATGAAGCCTTAGAGATATGTTTATAATAGTAAAGAATTTGACAATTCCTTAGAAAGAAATGTGAATCACGATTTGATTTGTATGGATGTGAATCAGAATCCATGAGGATCTCATGTGATTTGGCTTTCTAAGAAGATGGTGACATCCCAAAATCTTATGAGATTTTCAGGGCCCAATGCTTTCCCAATTCTCCTTCAATAAAATAGTAAGTACATCAACCTTATATAAAATTTTAAAAAAATTACTAAGGCTTCATTTGGTCAATGAATGAAATGGAAAACTTATTCCATCTCTCTATTTTCTTTCTCCAACTATCACTTCTAGCTATACCCTACTTCTCTACTCTCTACAATATGAATAAAAAAGTACGAAGATCATCAAATTGTGTGCTCTAATAATTCATTTAAGAATAGATTAAATATGGTAACTCTACAAATAATAATAGTATAATCCATCTTTGATAAAAAATGGTTCACATATTTTATATAGAATTTACATATATATTTCAATGAATTGAATGAATTATTTCTTATGTGTTTAGTGCTTTGTACATAAAGAAATTATCATATGAGAAACAGTGCTTCTCAATTATCCCATTCAACATAAAATATTTCAAGCTCCTTTCTTACGCTATAGTATATAGTGGGAGTGCAATTATGAGAAGGTTGTGGAATACTTTTTTGTGTGTGATGTATACTTTTTATTAAGTAAATTTATGGTGATACATAAAGTTTAATGTCTTAGGGTTATATGAAGATCCTGTATGTACACAGATATGCTAAGAATAATACACATAGGTTATGAGATATTTTACATGAAAAACTCAAAAAGGTAGAAATAATGAGACTTTATTCTATTAAAATGTTTCATTTGATTTTCATTGGGTGATTAGTGTTAGATCATTGTTAATGGTGGGCTTGGTCAAATATCGAAAGATTGGGAAGAAGAGCCTCGAATGCCAATTGTTAATGGGCGTCAGATGGTGATCCTTAAGAGACACCAGCCAGTGATTATAGGGAATGCTAAAATTTAGATGATGGCTGATGATGGAGCTCATCGTTCTTTTGATAGGACAGAAGATTGGACAATAGGGAAGATAAGCGTTGGATGTTGGTACCTGATATGCATTATACACTATTTATTAGAGGCATCAAATAAAAAATCATGAAGTCATGTAAGAAGTTAGTTGATAGTGAATCGTAGGATTTGTTGTTCTCATGTTAGTTCTCCTAATTATAGGGGAGGCCAAATGATTGCACATACAAGGAGCATCAAATCTTAGTAGTCGATGGATTTTTTGGGTTGGTTGTTAATGTGCATTAGATAGTGATTATTACAGAACATCCTACGATGATTAGAATGTAGATTGATGTTAGTCAATGACCGACATCAATATTAATTAACGACCAATATTAGGTGATGACAATTAGAGATCTAAAATTCTTCAAATATCTCAAAATTGAGCGATTTGACACTCTAAATAGATCATCATTGATCATATTCTTTTTTATAGCATTTTAATGCTTTATTAATGAACTCAAATTTGACCTATCCTAAATTATATAATCAAATTCATTGAAACACTTATTTTGATTATAAGCACTTATATTCATAGAATATTTATGCAATGAGTCTTTGATTTAGGAGTTAGGCCCATTTAAATTTGGATCTATGGGCACTTAACATCATTCGACTCCCCTGTTGGAATCACAATGTCTCATCATAAGCTTATTGAAAAAGAATTTTGAATGATCTCATAATTATTTATTGAAGTCTTTGACCAAATAACCAACTCTTCTTAAATTTGAAAGTGAGATGAAATTTTTGGTGCTGCGAACCTTAGTAATTTGGGGGTTCCTAAATGCATTTTTCTGAGCAAACTTTTCTTGACATTCAAAATTATGACACTTTAGGAAACGATTTAAGACAAAAAAATCCTAAAAAACAACATAATAAAGATTTTCTCTCAAATTTTTGTATTTATTTACAGTAAAAATTTATGAAGAATTCCTTGCATAAAATAATTTTTTTGTTTTCTATTTTTAGTCAATGGGGTCCGTAAGTTCTATATGCTCATCCGTTACAAAACTATAACTAATACAAACAAAAGCGTCTAATAAAAGCATATAGGTATTAATCAGTTGAAGATATGACGGTAAAAATTAAGCCTGTAAGTTTTTAGAATAAATCGGTTAATAAATTATATTTATGGATCGAATGAAGTTTGCCACCTATATAAGCAGGAAAAATGTTGCTTGCTCCTTCCCCATGAGAGAGAGAGAGAGAGAGAGAGATGGCAACGCTCAGAGTTCCATTGCATGTTCCTTCTGCAGTAGAAGATGCAAAGAATCTCTGGATGGCCTGCGAAGGTTTTGTATTTTGTTATCTATATCTCAGACTTTCCCTCTCTTTCCGCATACATTACAGAAAAATCAGTCATTACCGATGGAATTTCCGGCGGAAAATTATGAAGTTTATGGTGGATTTTAAAATTTTCCGGCGAATAGCCGGCGGAATTTTTTTCAACGGTAGATCGAGCGTTGGTAAAATTTGCCGTTGAAAAAAATTTTCCTACGGATTTCTTCTGCTGGAAAAAGCAGACGAACAATAAAAAACAGACTACGTGCGCTACCTTCCTACCCGCATAGTGACTCGAAGCCTGAACCTGCAACCACTTTGCTTTAGAGGAAAATATGTTAAAATACTTACACTTTTATATTTAAATAAATAAAATCAGTCAGAAAATCAGCTGGAAAATCTCACTAAAAATCTACCGAAAATATTTCATAGAAATCCGACGAAAAATTGTTCACCAGAAAATTTGTCAGGAAGCCGTCGGTAATAGACGGTTTTCCTGTAGCGATATGTTCTATCACTTTTAAGAAATTATTATGCTGGACGACAGACAAAACCATGCATCTTTCCTTGTTTAGCTATTTAGCTACATAAAAAATCCATTAAATTTTTTTGACAAACAGTATATGTTTCATACTATAGCATATTGTTTTCTTAAGCCTTCATATCATATATCATGCATTTTTATTTCAGAAAGGGAGGCAGATGAGAAAACATTGATCGATATTTTAGCGCATAGAGATGAAGCACAGAGGCTACAAATCATCCAATCTTATGAAGATCATTACAACGGAAATCTCATTGATAGACTTGAATATGAGCTATCGGGAGAATTTAAGGTACCTGATGGAGTTGAACATATTCAACAATATCACTATAGGAAATTCACAAATAACCGGCAGCACTTTCCAGCGGTTTTAAAAATTTCGGGCGGTTTTAAAAATTCACTTATCACCAGCGGCCAAACCGCCAGTCATATGCGACGCCCAAACAAAAAATCGGCAGCATATTTGGCAGTCATTTTACTGTCAGCATTTCCGACGATTTTTTTATTAAGAACCGCAAGTTTTAATCGGCGGTCACACTGCCGGTTTAACCGCCAGTAGTTCCGGCGGTTCTTTGATTGCCGGTAATTGATGATTTTCCTATAGTGCATATAAAGAGCCTAACATTTTCAAATTTGTTGTTATTGCAGGAAGCATTATACTGTTGGATGTTCAATCATGTCCAGAGAGGAGCAATCATAGCTAATATGGCTATGTGGAAATGGTTAGACTATAGAGCAATCGTCGAGACGGCGTGTATCAACTCAACAAAAGAACTTTTAGAGGTCAAGCAAGCCTACCATGATCTTTTCAAGCGTTCGTTGGAGGAAGATGTTGCAAAAATGACTAATGGCGATCTTCGAAAGGTATGTTGAAAGTATAATTTCTTAGAGGCCGTTTGAGATCATTGTTTCTTTTGTTTTTGGCTTTTATTTTATTTTTATTTTGTTTATGATTTTGCATGAAATAAAATATGTTCATCATCTTAAATATAGCATGTTTTAGTTTTTATTGAATACCGAATAAGTTGATTTTTGTGATGGTCGTTGGGGGTTGCGACAATCTTTAGTGGTGTACATGGCATTAGTGGCCACGACATTAGTGGTTGATAGGGGGTGAATACAACTTCTTTTTTTAAATTGGGCAAAACTTTAATTAGTTATATGATGATGACGACGACAACAACAACGACAATAATAATAATAATAATAATAATAAAATAACATCAAATAGTATTATTAATAATAAAAAAAGTAACCTACATAATGATATAAAATATATAAGAGAAATTTTTTATCATTTATCTTTCAATTTAATATTGATTTTGGTATAATATAAGTTGGAATATAATAATATACATTATGCTAAAGCTAGATCCTAACATACAGAATAATAATAATAAATGAGCTTAATGTTATCTAACTTAAGAAAAAAAAAAGATAATTAAACCATAAAAAATTCTTAATATTTAATGGATTTAAGAACCGCTCCATCACAAATCATAAATCAATAAAAAATAATTGAAAAATAGCCATCTGCGAGACTTCAATGCAAAAAAAAAAAGACTTATTTGGATAGAAATTAATTATTTTTTCTCTTACTTCTTAGAATTCTTTTTAAATCCAACTTATAAACCATAAGACACTTCTTTTTTCTTTGGATAAAGTTTCACTCCCACTTTATACAAACAAAAAAGTAAGTACGGTACATTTTTATAGTGTTTTCAACTAATGCTTCTTCCTCTCCCTAAACGGTGGGCAAATATTATTTTGAAGGGGTCAAAATTTCAAATTTATCCTTCATATAGATTTTTCTTTTAGGGTTGGCATTTGCCTGCCCTGGGCTATATGGGGATTCGCCTTTGGTGGTTGAGGGCCGACGCAGTGGTTCTGACAACGACGATGATGGTTGGTTGCCACAATTTGTGATACTGGGGTGATAGAGCAGTTGTCGTGGGTGACAATGATTCTATCGGATGCCTTCTATGGTAGTTGTTTTCAAAAGCCTAAACCCTAAAATTAATTAAAAAAAAATAAACACTTTGAACAAACATATTTAAAAAAAAAAGATAGAAAACAAAGAAATAAAATAGATTCAGAAGGCTCTTAGTTTCTACAACTTTATTTTGTATTTAAAATTTTTGAATTTTTCTTGTAGCTGTTGGTTGGTTTAGTGAGCACATATAGATATGATGGCAAGGAAATTGTCAAGAGCCTTGCATTATATGAAGCAAACATTCTCCATGATGTTATCAGAAAGAAACTCTTCAATCATGATGAGGTTATAAGAATCTTTACCACAAGGAGTAAAGCTCAACTCATTGCAACTTTCAATAAATACAAGGATGAGTTTGGAATATCAATCTTAAAGGTAGTAAAACATACTGATTTTTTATATTATCAGTTAGTCAATCTTATATGACTTCGATTTTTTTTTTCCTTTTGGTTATCAGGACTTGTCAAGTGGGAGTCCAGATCTCTTTCCTTCGGTGCTTAAAATTATCATTCGTTCCATCATTTCTCCTCATAAGTACTTTCAGAAGGTAAGTAACTTGGATCGAAATTACGTACAAAATTCATAGCGCACTAGTTGGAAATAAATTTGAAAAATCTGATAGGTAATATTCAAAGGCTCATATTTCGTAAAGAAAAAATTAGGAACAAAATCACATATATATATATATATATGTTCAGAATATCCTTATAACAAAAAGTTGATCTCATATAGAATTACTTAGAAGATGAAATGTAAACATTCTCTTTCATATATTTTATGTTAAGGCGTTCTTCTTCTAAAAAGTTTTGAAGGTGTTGTAGAATTTGAAAATATATTAGTTTATAGCTACAAAAATGTTGCTACAAATGTCTCATATCTTTCTTATTAGAACATCTTGCTAGAATTTTATCCTTGGTGACATGTCTTCGGGTGAAAAATTTATGAACCTAACTTATGAAGAAAACTTTTGGATCAATCACAGCTCCTTCGATTGGCGCTGAACGGAGAGGTAACCGACGAAAATGTGCTTGCTCGAATTATTGTCACTCGAGCGGAGAAAGATTTACAGGAGATCAAAGATATGTATGAAGAGAGAGGAAAAATGAGTCTGATAGCTGCCATAAACAACAAAACTTCAGGGCACTTCAAGAACTTCATCTTGGAATTGATTGGGAATTGAAGATGAAATACTTCAGAAACTACTTCTATGTTTGTCGTAATAAGAAAAAACTCACAACTATTGGATATATATTTTTGAAATTACTGTTGATGACAGTTTGTATTTCAGTAGGCTTCGTTCGGAACAACTTTCTTACTATTCTTTAAGATTGTTTTTTAGTACAAAAAATTTTTGAGCAATAAATTTTTGTACTAAAAAACTATTTTAAAAACAGTAAAGAAGCTCTCCCAAACTAAGCATTAGAGATATGCTTATAATAGTAAAGCATTTGACAATTCCTAAGAAAGAAATGTGAACCACGATTTGATTTGTATGGATGTGAATGAGAATCCATGAGGATCTCATGGCCTTCTAAGAAGATGGTGACATCCCAAGATCTTATGAGATTTTCAGGGCCCAATGCTTTCCCAATTAAAAAAAAAATACTAAGGCTTCGTTTGGGAAAGTTTTTTTGTTGCTTTCTAAAGCATCTTTTTAGTACAAAAATTTCTAGTTCAGCTTTTTTTTGTACTAAACAATTGTTTTAGAAGGTTGTAAGAAAGTTAGCTATCTTAATGAATTGATGTTTTATCATAGAAGTTATTGTGTGAACAGAAAAAAAAAAATCACTTTTGATTATAATTTCCCTTTTAGTTATATGTAAACATCTTAATATTTCATGTTTTGTAGTAGATTTTAGAAACAAATTGATGTGACTTAGATTTGACATTTAAATCTAATAATAGAAAGATCATCTGTTAATTTTTAAAATTTCTTGAGAAGAATTGGATCCAAATATTTTGATCCAAAATTTTTCCCAATTGATACATCTCCAAGAAATTCTATTGATAAGCGCAAATCTAATCTTGAATTGAAAAAAATTATAATTAAATTCATGACAAACTAATTTACATTACAAATGATCCGAGCTGAGTCCAAATGAACTCAAATAAAATATTTAAAGCATATTTAAAACTTTTTAAACACCAATTGAAGGACCAAATGGTCTCCAAATCTTGTGTTATAGTCAAATCGAGCGACATGATGAGACGAATCCAACAAGCTCAAGATCACTTGATTTGGACATCATTAAGACACTACAATATTTGATAAATAATCTATAATTAATAGAATTAATATGAATAGTTTGATGGAATCTAGCCAAATTTATTAAATGCATGCATTAAAAAGAATATAAATATGACTCCAAGTTTGAGCGTTGAGAAAACTAAGTAATTTTATTGCATTTTCCGATGATCATCGTCAACAATCACCATCAACAATTACTACCATTATCCTGAGTTTTTTCATTTAATTATTATTGTCTGACACCTGATTTATATAATTTTTACAACAATAATCAAACAATTATTTTCTTATCTTTTTCAATTATGAAGAAGAGCGGATTCCTATACCTATGCCTCCAATCATATATGGATTATTACAACTATAACATGCCCCATTTTTTTATAAGTTTCCAAATACAAAATTATGATATCTTAAGACTTTTCTATGTGCATGCCAAATCTTTATACAATATTAAGATATTAAATACATATTGTACCACAAAAAATTTCTATGATGCTTAGTACCCCAAAAGAGTAAAAAAAAAAAACAACTATAATATAATTAATTTAATTGATATGTTGTATATATTATTTATAATTATAGGAATTAAATATAAAAATATATATTTACAATTCTACCACTTCACACAACTATCTTAATCTTATATACTCACAAACTCCACAAAACTAATCTATTAAATATAAAATGATTGTGCTTAGTTATTATGTAAAGCTCATGTACACTTATCATGTCAAGTAGTGGGTACTCTTATGATCCTTTGGCCATATCCAACCGAACTTCATACTTGTTTTTGGCGTCTAGGAACTACTCCAATCTAACTGCAGAACGTGTTCCATTCTCGTGTTCGTGAATAGTGCGACGTCAATATTGGCGTGACAATGTTCACGAACTCATTTTTTTGTGTGGAAACAGAGAATGCGGAGGCGGAGTGTGTGGAGTTTGGTTGAGAAAGAATATATACGAAATATTCTTTTTTGGCGTTAACAAATAGAATTCGGTTTGAGATGAATTACTACATTTTGAAGTGAAAAATAAATTTTTCGGTTGGAGATAGTCTTAATGAGAATGGTGAATTTTTCAGTTGGAGATAGTCTTAATGAGAATGGTGTAAAGGTTTCTTTATATTCTGCAAAGGAGAAAAATTGTAGTTGTAAATTTTGAAGTAATGGAACTCTAATGCGAGGTATTTCAATTTTTGTTTAAATTCTTACATATTTATTTTAATTATTTGTTGGTGCTTGATTGTTCATTTTGATGAGAACTGTAGAGTAAATAATGACATTTGTGTTTAGACTTGTTGCATAACTCTTTATAGATCATCATTATTTGAACAAATGTGTAACTTTGTTGTTTAGGGTATTAATGTTTTAGCACCTAGGCTTCTTTTGAGACATCTTTCTTACTACTTTCCAAAGAAGTTTTTTCATAATAAACTTTTTGAGCTGAAAATTTTTGTATTAGAAAACTATTTTATGAAGTAATAAGAAAACTATCCCAAATAAAATCTTAATTATGAATATTTTGTACAAATTGTACATCAAATTCACCACCATCTGATATGTCTTTGAACAACAATTTTCACTACTCAGTGACTATCTTCTAGCTGATTGCTATGTGAACACTATTTATTCAGTGTGAATAAGTACATTGCAAAATCAACTACCCATATTAGATGTCTGTCATGACTATTATTTGATATCCCCTTCTATATGGATAATGTTCAATCGATAACTTGTTATCATTTAAATTCTGATATTCATTACAGAGTATCATCTAACACCTATCAACAATTGGATTTATTATTCTGTGCGGAGTCTGGAGGGCGTCCTGAGACCAATAAAAATGCGCCACCTCACCCCAAAAATGTACTGCGCTCGACATCAAGTAACCAAGTGCTTAATCAGACGGGAGAACCGTCCAGTATTTGCACAATAATAGCTCCAACGATTGACACCTAACATTCATCAATCACATATGTTTGATGCTCACTTACTATATGATAAGATGATAAATACTTTTTAGCGCAACTTTTTAGCTTTCCATGATGAATGTTAGGTGGACCCTTATCACTAAAGCAAGCTTAGCAAGGCATGCGTTTTCCATTTACCTCTCTTCATGGTTAATTCGACAAAATCTTGGACAGGACTATTGAGAGATTTGGAGGAAATCACTTTTTAAGATTTGATGAACGCTTTTCCCATTTTTCGTCAAAGATGAGACCTTTTGCCCCTTATAAAGAACCAAAATGGAGAAATTAAACCAATCATCAAGCTTTCTCCTCTTCCTAGACAGATCATCTCGTACTTGCTCGCCGTGCATGGCTTCCGTCGCCGCCGAACCTCATTTTCACGTCCTCGCCGTCGACGACAGCCACACGGATCGGAAACTAATCGAACGCCTCCTCAAAACCTCTTCGTACCATGGTAACACAGAAGCTGTTCGGTGAAATGCCTCAAAGAGAATTTGGTATAGATTTCTATTATGTGATATCTGGAATTTGTTTCCTTCCTTGTGCAGTCACTGCTATGGATTCTGCTAGCAAGGCTTTAGAGTTTCTGGGACTGCTTGATCAGGAGACTACTGCGCCGGTAAGTTCTCTTACGGCCTGCATGTCTGTTTATGTAAGCTAGACAAGGATAAGCGAAGATAAGCCGTGAGCTTTTGAAGCTTAAGCTATAAGCTGAGTTAAGCAAAGCGAGCTGGAGGTGCGCTTAGCTTATTCTAGCTTATCCCCTATGTGAAGAATATCTGGCTGATGAAGCAAGTCAATATTGTGTTTGGAAGGAAAAAGAAGCTTAAGCCGGCTTATAAATAAGCCCGAACCCAACAGCCCCTTAGTAGTTGGAATAGTTGCTTGTAAATCTCCAAGTTTAGAACTTGTTGGTGATGAGTTATTATTATTATTATTATTATTTTCTGGTGGTTTACAGGAAGCTGATGTGAATTTGATAATTACTGATTATTGCATGCCGGGAATGACAGGTTATGATCTCCTAAAGAAGATCAAGGTGGGTTTTTTTTTAAGTGTTTGAATACTTATTTGTCTAATCATTTGGCAATCCTGAATTGCAAATTCAAACTTGGTTGAAATGGTTTCATAAATATGCTTTTTTGGTTAAATAAATTTAGGAGTCATGCTTCCTCAAGGACATTCCAGTTGTTATCATGTCGTCTGAGAATCTTCCTTCAAGAATCAATAGGTGAGCAGCCCTTTTCTGTGGTATTTCTGCCGTTAGTAGTTATTTTGTCTTGTATATTGCTGATTCCTTAGCCTTCTTAGTTTCAAGCTTATCTAAACAATACATTATGGTTTAAGCATCCAACTCTACTCATCTAAGCAATTTTATTCGGTGGATGGCATAGATTAGTTAATACTAATATTTGGCATAACAAGCTGGCAAATAACATAAATTAATCCTGCATTTAGCTAATGAGATTAATCTAATCCACCACACCTTCTGGCAGGATAAGGTTTGATTCTATTGTGGTGCTTTTAATGATTACGTAGGCATGAATCAGGCTGAATGGATAGCCTTTCCAAAGGATTTAAGGAGGATTTATGTTGAATTCTGTCAAACGGCTAGTATGAATCCAACCTGATACAGATATTGGTCTTAGTAGGTTTTTTTTTTTTTATATTTTTTTTTTTTATATATTGGTCTTAGTAGGTTGTGATAAATGTTGGCTCAAAATTGGGATTGATCAAATCCAACACTGATTGCATTTGCGTGATTTACTTCATTCTCTCTGACTCCCTCATCTTCTTTGTTTTCTTGTATCTTTTCCTTCCTCGCTCTCTGGAATTAAGGTTGAAGCATCCAAACAGTTATGAGGATTTACGCCATCAAGATTTACTATCCTAATTGAATAGGGTTATCAAATCCAAATTTACCAAATTGTACATGGAACCAAGCAGCTTGACTAGCATCTAAATCACCAAATAATATGTGTTTTGTTTTCCAGTTGCATGGGTGGCTTAACTTTTTCAGATCAGTGAATCTAATATGGCTAATCACTAATAAACTGAATCTAACTTCCCTAATCACCTAATGATATGATTTGATTGTGGTGTTCTTAGGATTAACTTCATCGCTTATACAAAAGAACCCATATGCATACCGTATTGGCCTAGTCTTGGTATTATTCTTCAAAATTACTTCATTCTTAAGATTTCTTGTTGGGGATGAGGAGTAAACACCACAATGATGAAGCAAGAAAGAAAGTAAAATCAACAAAAATATTAAGGACACCAGGATTTAATGTGGAAAAATTCAAAATAGGAAAAAAAACCACGAATCCACATCACATTAAGAAATCTACTATGAAAATTGGGAGAAATAAGTATAGATCTCACTTCTCTCTTGCTCTTTCCTTGCTTCTCTTCTCACATAAACCGTTCTTGCCCTTGCCCTTGCCCTAATTAGAAATACAAGAGAAAAGCCTGTTATATTCCTAAGGGACGCAACCATTGAGAAAAGCGAGAAAGATAAATGTTCAGTCCGTCTTGCAGCATTGTGTTGCCGGTTTGAGGTGCTGTGGTGCTCAAACTTTTATCTTGCATCGCTGGGATGCCGTATCTAGACAGCTGCGTCACTCTACTCTCTGTCGTTCAACATCGGGGCGCTCGGGTACATAGTCTTTGTCAGCATATGTGCAGAGGGTAAACCCCGAAACTTGAGCTTCGAGGAAATAGACCAACTTGATTGATCAACACAATCAGATTCCATGCATAACATTTATAATCTTCACTTAGTTTATCAAACCCACATTAAAAAGCAAAACAAGCTGATGTTCTTGAAAAATCTCAATCCATTCTCACTCAAAAACAAAGATCCGTTTGATAGTAAGTTTGTACATGCCAATCTCAAATTGGCGCAATCCTCGATTTTAATCATAATGGTTATTGTTTCCCAAATTCCCAGGATCATTAGTCCGTGCCTTCTGTTTTTCATCTGAAGCCATTATTCAATGAGGATTCGAGTGAATGCGAAATAATAACAATTACAAATAGTTCTCCTTGTCAGTCCATCTTTAGAGCACCATTATTGAATCATTAAATCGAAGAATTAAATTAGACAAGCTTTGAAAGATTCATTTGTTTATTAGATAGTGCATCTCTTTTAGCCTGAATGGAACATGTTCTTATGGAACCTTTTTTCTTTGGAAGATGCCTGGAAGAAGGAGCAAATGACTTTTTCCTGAAGCCAATACAGTTATCAGACATGAAAAGACTGAGATCTCATATTCTTAAAGGCAAATCCAAAGATATCAGTAACAACATCATCAAAAGGGAATTCTCAATTGAGAGTATTTTACCTAATTGGGCAAGGACTAGGCTTAGTTTTACAGCATGGAAATTACTATCATATTTTTCCTTTTTTACTTGTAATTGTTGACCATCTGTACCTCTCCCTTTCTTTAGGAATTGTTTACATATATCGGGCTAATTTCATCCCAACATTTTCTAGTTTTACAGTTTGAGCTCTGGATAGAAATGCGTGAAATAGAGAAAAAACTTAAATTAGAATTGTTAAAGTTTCAACATTGTGTAATCATTTTTTTCTTTAGTAATATTCTGTTTAAAGATTGTTAGGCTTTGTTAGTATGATTCTCTGTATCTCTTTGTCTGTAGTGTAAATATGTTACAAATCTAAAGAAATATGTAAAGCTTAAATAAGCTTTTTGGCCTATTTTCGCTCTGCTGATGATACATTGATACCAGATGCATTCACATCAATAAGTTAAATTCAAAATGTTAATTCCAAATTTCAATGGAAACTGGTTCAATCTGAGTGGAATTCCATTCTATTAAACTCATCTATCATTGATTATATCTTATAACGCCAAAAAAATGGCATCATCACAGATCCTATCCACAAACTATCATTCATCTCATGCACCTCACTGATGAACACCATCTTCCTCTCTCCAGGATTCTTCAAAACTTCTATTATGTTACCATCTTCATCCAATCTCATTGCCATGACTCCCTTAGTTGGCATTCTCTTTAAAAACTGCATCATGCCATTAATACTAGAGGCTGGATGAAACCATAAAAGAACAGTCAAATGAAATGTAATTAGAATGTAAATGAGCTAAATATTATTTTTCATTCCTAATAATAATGATAATATAATGTAAAAGAAAAAAGATTCAAAATTGTTCCTCAACTCTTTTTGAGAGCCCAAAATAGTCTCCAACTCTTTTGAGGGAATAATTTAGTCCCTCCACTCTTTAAAATGTGATCTTTTTTGTCTTAAAATTCAATATTAGAGTTAATGATGTTCAATTTAAGGGTATTTAGTTCATTTTTAATTAAAAATTTATTAAATGTAATTTTGAAAAAAAAATTATTTAACATAACTTTAATACAAAAATAATAATAATTTTAGTTTTAATTAAAAAAAATTTAGTCGTATTTAATAAAATATGATATTTATTTAGAGAAATTAAATGCAAATAGATATAATTTTCAACTTATTCACACATATTTTTATCAATCATATTTTATAAAAAAAGATTACATTTTATTTTAAATTAAAACTAAAATTATTATTAATTTATTTATTAAAGAAACGTTTAAGAAATTTTTTTAGAAAAATTATAATTACATGAAATATATATTTAATTAAAATTGACAAAAATATTCTTATATTTAACATCATTAACTCCAACATTTGATGTTAGGACAAAAAATATCCCATTTTAGAAAGTTGGGGACCAAATTGATCTCTCAAAAGAGTTGGAGATCATTTTAGTCCCTCATAAAGAGTTGAGGGACCATTTTGATCATTTTTTCTAATGTAAAAAATAAGGGATATCTATATTAAATTTCTTGTGGTTTGTTTTTGTAGTGAAAAAGAACATAGTATTGAATTTTCAATCAAGGAGAAGTGAAATGTTGAATGAGCAGAAATTCAGGCTGAAAATCACCCAAATAAATTGAAATTGCTTTTATAACCTTTAAAGATTTATATGATGGAAGCATACTTTGGTACATGGAAAGGGCAAAGAAGTAATTTCAAGCTAATTCAGTGAAATTTTCTGCCTCTATTTCAGCCTGCTTAATATTTCTCTATGGACATATTTTCTTATGTAGGAAATTACTTACCATTTTTTGCAAAAGTTTCACACCATAATGATTTATATACTGATAAACTTAAAATTAGTAGGATGCATGGTGTGCAAATATGAAATTCACTAAAAATCGAAAAAAAAAATCTGAAACTGAATTTGCAAGTTGATCCATGAAAAACAAACAACATTAAAGCTGAATTCAATGAAACTCGCATCCAGAACTCAGTTCCAACGAGTTTCAAATACTTACATGGAAACAAATTGGAACCATAGAAGAAAGCCTTCTTAATCCATGGAAGAGAAAGAAGCCATTTCTCAATCGTGCTTCTTCTTGAATGTAATGCAATCCAGAACCCTCCTCTTGGGCTTCTCCTTATATTATCAGGAAATCCTGGAAGCTGGAAGAAAACCTCAAAGCTTGAGTTTTGAAGCCAGTATCTTAGAATTCTACAATTTGTGCTCTCTGCAATGAGCAGAAAAGAGCCATCTGAGCTTAATGCAACGCCATTTGGGAATGATAGGTTAGAGAGCAGGATTTGTGTTTTTTGGGTGGTGGAGTCATATTGCATTAATCTTCCTGTGTTGTCTCCTGTTATGATTGCTGATAAGAACTCACTGTAAGAAATCACAGCTTTAACTTCAGTTGGATACATGAGAAAATAAAAACAGTCAATCGAGCTGTGCTAAGACACCCAAAAAAAATATATAAAAATAGTCAATCTAGTTGGTGACTGGCGCGACAGTGAGATTGAAAGAACTAATTATTTGATCATTCATTCATGTAATATATTTCCTTATTTAGACTAGCAGATGGTGTGAAACGTTCTGCAATATTTTTGAAGACTTTGTTTTTGCAACTTCTAGGATAAATGAGTAGAGGACTTCTGAACCCAATGAACCCATAAATGCAAAAATAACTGTATTTTGATTTCTTCACGAGTTCACATATGCTTTAGTCCTTCAAACCGACCCAAACTTCCACTAACGAATAATCACGTCCATAATCCGTTTTCATATACAAGGATTGGGCTGGACGATTGGTTATTTCTCTGATCTGATTTTGAATAAGCTATTGGATGGGTTTGGTTAGATTAAACCTTGCCATGCTTGCTTGACTGGGTATAGTTAAGGAAAAATCTCCTAGTTCCAGCTAAAGCACCTCATCTCCTAGCCAATTGGGCTTTCATTTAGGAGGTGATAAATACTTTGTGTTTACCGATGGCCATCCCTCGCTAGATGGTCGTTTTCAAAGGTACATAACACTGAATTTCGAGCTCGACTCGTTAACGAGCTCGCGAACCGAGTTTATCTAGTTTCAAGCTCGAGTTCGAGCTCGTTTGATTATCGAGCTCGAGTTCGGTTCAGATGATGCTCGGCTCGATTACTCGTCGAGCGGCTCGATTAAAACGCGGAAGGGGAACTGGTGAAAGGTGACGCATGGGCGAACCGAAGACATCTACGCGTGCGGAGTTGCGAACTGCGGAATATGGAAGGCGGACTGGTGGATCACGGAAGGCTTGTGAGCTCGTATTTCGTGGCACGAGCAACTCGAGCTTAAGATTTGACTCGCAAGTCGAGCTCAACTCTACTCGCTTGCATCCCTAAGCCAAATACATAGCCACTTCAAGTGGCATGAAAATAGAGAGAGCATGCAAAGGAGAAAATGAGCCATAATATATCTTCTTATGTCTACTTTTATGAAACATCTACTCAATTCAAAGACAAATTGGTGCCACAAATCATTTTATATATAATTTATCAACGTGAAATAATGTACCTTCTTCTGAATTTTGCACTGCTGACAGTAAAATATATTACTCCAGTTTCCTGATCAATATCCAATGCATTGGTGAAGTAAAATGGAGCTCCTGCCTCTTTTGAAACTGTGGTAGGAACTTTATCTTTGTTGTCAAATATTAACAAGCCAAAATATGCATCAGCAACATATAGTTTTCCTGTCTTCTTACAGAAACATAATCCAAGTGGTCTCCCACATAAATATTCCTGTTTTGGATCTTGTGAGCCTCTACATTCATCCAACCTATAATAATTCAGGTAAATCATTGCCAAAATTTTGTCCACTTGGAAAATTTATAATATCTTTATTTGTGAAAAGACTAACATTAGCATGTGTTTATCACATATATCATCATTAGCATCATCATCATCACTAATTTTATCATAAAAATTTTGGGATCAATTGATTCAGTGTATAAGAAAGGAAGGCTTTAATAATTGGAAGTTCCTGGTTGTGTGATTGCTGCATGAAAATAGTCTCAAATGTTGATATCTTGCCCCATGCATATCCTATCATCATAAATGCATGCATGTGCATGGGTGATATAAATATATGAATATATGTATATTTATATATATTTCAATCTGTTCTAAAGCGGATTTAGGATGAAAATAACCATTCTCCTCCTTGAAGGATATTTCTCCTATTAGGTTGACAATTATTATTCTTCGCTCAGTTACATTTTTATGTTACCACCCATCCATGCATGACTTAAAGATTTTTTAAGGACTGCCTAGTGTAATTAAAAAAATAAATCTAAGTGAAAGGAATACAAGGGTTTTGAAAATTTTCTTATTTGATTCAATCAAAATGGAATGTAAAATAAGTTATTGATATATTTGAAATTTATCTTTTAATTTGTTTTCAATGAATTAGGAGTTTGCTTAATTTGGATAAATTCCAAATACAATGCCCGTGTGAAACTTCTCCCCTCGTTGGCGCCTACCCACACAACTCGGTGGTCACATGCCACTCAACATCGATCATCTTATGCCCATGGTCACCCACCAACAGTTAGTCATTGCCAGCCGATGTCATACCATCACAGTTGATTAGCCACCGCCTCCGACCTATCGATACCACACCATTGTCATCAGTTGCCCCCCTTCTCTATTGTTGCTCATCGCCCCATTGCTACATCTAGCTGCCAAAGGCCGGCTACTACTGTCAATTGCCACCTACCGCCCTACCTCCATCACACTACTGCTAATAGGTATTAGCACTGCATGCACCGCCTCCACTGCCAACTACTGTTGGCATTGCTTTACACTAAATTCATGTTACTTCAAACTAAACACAAAAGAAATGATCTCCTACATTTGTTTTACACTTAACCAGATAACTCTAAAATATTTAAATACAAAACATTTATGTTATATTGTATTCCTTTTACGTTTTGTCCTTTTTTAGCAAACCAAAAGGCTTGTTAAGATCATTTAATTATCGGTTCAATTTATCAAAATTTTACACTATATCATATTATATGAAATGATAATTGCGATTATAGAGTATAGATGGCTAGAAATAGTCTGAAATCAAGCAATAGGTTGTTGATGTTATTTTTCATGTATGGAATATTTTTTATTGATGATGAAATATATGAATACAACAAAACTTTTAAAAAGACTTCTACAATTCATCCAATCTTTATTGCATTCCTTCACATGTTTGATGAGTAATCCAATCTTCACAAAATTTGATCTTATGTAGTTCTTACAAAGCAAAATCAACAAAATGATCTTAGCTATAAAATTCTATTAAGTGTAAATAAAACATAAAATTAAGAGGAAAAAAAATTCATCCTTCTGAGTCTTCTCCTAAGAGGACAAAACACATGTCCAAATATATTTAGAATTTTGAACAGGAGAGATGCTCTATTCCTAATTCCTATCATCAATAATGCATTCCTTTTTCCATTATTCATGGTTTCAAGTTTCAACCTATTTTTGTTTAGTCTCAAAGTCAAAATGAAGACCATTGATGTTATTTCTTGCGAGTAAAGCAATAAAGGGCACAATTGTTAAGGCTACCATAATTATGGATTTTTGCTACAAAATAAATCTGAAGTGCAAATTAGAATGTATCCATCAAAACCTAAAAGATACATATTAATGAAAAATAATAAACTTCAATTCAAAATCAATTATTTTCACAAAAAATAAAAAGTATAACACAGTATATAATATTTTAAAAATTCATAATAATATATAAATATGTATGTATGTTATGCGCTACAAGAAAATTTTGAATTATTGTCGGACTATCCGACGAAAATATATACGCCGGTAAAAGCAGCAAACCAACTGGCATATTTTTCGTCGTTATTGTAATGACGGCCTTTCCAGCGGAAGAGCCGCCAGCAATTTATCGGCGGATAATCTGCCGGCCTATTCGTCGTTATTTATAAGACCGACAGTTTATTCCAGCAGCATATTGTTCGCCGAAAATTAACGGTGAAGTATCCGGCGGATATTCCGTCGGTCTACCTAAACTTGATGAATATTTTGCGGCTGATAGTTTGATGGTAACAACCAATTTTCCTATAGTGATGTATGTAATTATGTCATGCATGCATTATATGATGCAGCGATATAAATAATAATTTTAAATTCAAAGTTTAACCATAATAAGATAAGTAATAGCAAAGCAAAAATGACATAAAAAGTTACCGTCAATAATATTTGTTTGGAATGCCTCACACAATTTGAAGTAGAGAAATAAGAGAGAAGAAGAAGAAGTTCTATGAGGACAATATTTTACTTTTTTTAAAAAAATTTATTAATTAAAAATAGGATATAAGATCCTCAAGTCTACAACTAAATCCACCCTATGATCTCCATGATAAAAATAAAATAAAATTTCTCCACAATATATTGCAAATAAACACCCTTACATATGAGAAGGGGAGACACTGGAAAATTCAATCCATCCAATATCATCTCCTTGCCATTTCAATATTCTACCATCTGATACACCTGTGTAAGGCCCCTCACCATCCTTATCAAATGCAAGGCTCTCAGGCCCTACTGCTCCACCATTGATAAAAGCTTCTTTCAATCTGCTTTCTTCTCCATTTTCTGCTGGCGACTGATACAAAGAAAAATAATCTTTCATCGTCAAGGAGAAGAAAGAGACTGCAACGGCCATAAGAGCAGAGAGAAGCATATTTTTCTTCATTTGGAGGGAAGAAGTTGCAGAGGATAAAGAAAGGGTGAAGATGGAGAATATAAACGAAGGAGATAGCTATATATTGATTGTATTGGTCTGTACGCAAGCTTCCAGAATATGACACAGAGGCTATGTGAGTGTGTTTTGTTTTACTTATGTGGCAGAATGAAGACAAAATTTGATGAGGATTGTTTTTTTTATTATATGTTAGCTGTGGTGCTATGTCATTATTGTTGTGTACTTAGTAGGTTAAGTATGATTAGTGAAATTAATTGTGTTAATCAGATGTCATTAGCATATTTTATATATGTGGAGAAGGAAAATTTGCTTGTGGAGCTTGTTTAGATAAGAATTGGTTGGACTGGTATTTGTTTGGAATAATTAAATGGTGCTTGTGGAAAGACAGGAAAGTGGTTGTTGGGCTGATTTGATTGTAGCTAAACTTAAAAGTGAATAAAAAAATTGAAGCAAATTTAGTAAGGGTTTGTTTGGGATTATTTTTTGTCTTTTGTTCTTATTTTTATTTATTAAAATATGTTTTGTTTATAGTGTTTTTTTTTAAATAAATTAAATTATCATTAAAAAATACTCGATTTATTTTTAACAATAACTATTATCATTGGTTGACCATGTTGACCTCATTTTTGTATGAGATCATAGGGACCCATCCAGTTCCCTACATTGTTGATATGATGATTGATATTCATCCAAATGTCATTCATCTAGAGCTTCAATTTAGTCACAATCCAGATCTCAATCCAGTTCAAAATCAAGATTCTAGTTCAAACCTCAATCCAGACCTCAAATCAATGATCAAACCTTCAATTTGAGTGTATCTTTTTTAAAACTCAGCTTTTCAAACAAACAGGCCATCACTAAGGCCTCTATTAATGGTGATCAATGTTGTTATCATCACTGTAATGGCCACTATCGTTGCTCTGATGGCAATCGACGCCACCATTATATTCGCTTCAATGTTGAATGCATCTTGGCAAATTCTCATATGTGCATAGTGATGCACAAATCAAATATCAAACTTGAGCACTTCTGAGCATGTTTTCATTCTTGAATAAAACTTCATGTTGTTGTTAAAAAACCCTAATTATGATTGAACTTCCACTAATAATGTCATTTTTGGCATTACATCACCCATTTTTATTGCACAATGTAAGGGATTAATTATAAGGGATTGTGCTATACAAAACATACATTGTACCAATCTCATTTCAAAAGTTACAAATTGTATGAACTTTAATCTACTTCTTTCTTTGATTATATATTTTTATGTATCTCAGTTTATTCAACTTGGACCCGACCCGTCGGATTTTTGAGTTGACCAGACCCGACACAGATTTACTGGATTTGGCTGAAGAAGCACGTGAAAGCTAGGAAGATAGCGAGATCCCGTCACTACTTTCAGTTCCGACTAACTGTCCTGGCCTCCGATTCGACATGAAGGAATATCGTCGAAGGAGGCGAACTATACCAACCTTCGATTCGTGAGGAAGATAGCAAGCTCCCGCCTCCCAAAGCTACTTCCAGTTCTGGCAACACTGCAGCAGCGACAGCGGCGGCCTGACTCATGCAAAAAGACACGTCGGAATGATGACGTGCACGAGAAGTCCGAAGTGACGCGACTCGACCGTCGTGCAACGCGGGCATATCAATTTTCTGGGTCATTTCTGGGTTTCCGGGTCAACCCGAACCCGACCATATTTTCGAAAAGGGTTGGTTTGTTGAACCAATACCCGACCCAGTTCACAAACAGGCTGACCCTAACTCGGAATTTTCAGGTCGGATTTTCGGATCTTGTCAAATATTGTTTCCCCTAACAAACACATCATTGCGTACATCTTAAAATGGAAAATAACATTTCATCATATCTTACTCCAAATCACATATTTATTCCATTTGTAGTTAGCATCTTTAATTTATGTATGACAATCATAAAGAGGCTGGAAACAATAATGAAGAAGATGATGAAGAAACAAATATATAAAAGGAGGAAGAAACAAGAGCAGATCCATAGCCATGATATGCACCTTCCTAAAGACAGTATCATTATAATTACCTCGAGTATATATGGACCAAACATTTCGCCCTATTGGAACTTAATGTAGATCAACATATTGCTTGAGAAGAATGGCATTGTTAATAATTACAAGACCAAACGACATATGGCAACTAGGGGTGTAAGTGAGCTGAGCCGGCTCTAGCTCAACTCGTTTATGGGTTCGAGAGCTGAGCTTATTGAGCTCATGAGTCAAGCTCAAACTTGAGCTTGTTTAGTAAACGAGCTCGAGTTCGAATTTGAGCAGGCTCGGCTCGTGAGCTCGCAAGCTGGCTCGAATAATTATTAATATTTTTTTAAATAATTTTATTTTATTTATTAAATTTAAATATTTTAAAAAATTAATAAGAACCATCTGAGTTTTATTTAAATAAATGTTAAACATTCATCTTTTTTTTTTTCTAAATCCCGCTAAGTTTAAAAATCCTGCCCTTTGCTCGCGAGCAGGCTCGAGCTCATTTCAGTGGGACGAGCTTTGGTTCGAGCTTGCCTGTCGAGCTCGACTCGACTCAAGCTTCGCATTCGCAATTAACAAGCTGAGCTCGATAAGATCTAAACTCACTCGTTTACACCCCTCAATGGGAACACTTTTTTTAAGAGCAAATTAATTAATATTGTCGCATGAAAATCATCTTAATATGCGAATCCCTAAATATTTGATGAATGACGTAGAACTTACATAATAGTTATTGTGTAAACAAGATCATATGAATTTCATTTCTAAAAAAACTGTACATCTATCCTATTATATATCCTTGGTGGCTATTTGATGCTACTACTTTGCATTGATTGTAAAACTACGTAAGTATCAAAATTTTGAAACTATTAATTTCTTGTAGAAGTTTATATTGTGGCAGTGATTCAAAATAGTTTTTTTTATAGCTTATTTATAGTGGTCAAAATAGTGTCAAAAATTGGTAGTCTCTATCTATATTTACATACCCAATTATTTTCCATTGTTTTTCCTATCATGGGTGGCAAATCATCAAGAAATTATTCTGTGTGGTCACCGAACGGTCCAGAGACGAATCAGAACGCGCCACATCACCCTGCACCGAGTGGTACACAACAACGGTACATAGAAAAAAATGATGTGGCGCATTATCATTCGTTTCTGAACGCCGTTAGGTGACCACACAAAATAATTTCTTCAAATCATCATGCTCTCTTAGTACAATTGGCAACTTTAGAGGTAACTTTTCTTTAGAGGGTTGGCAAAAGAATAGACTAATTGCTATGATTGACTAAGTAAATATCAAAATTTTTTTTTATGCCTTCTTTTGATGGAAATTTAATATTTTGGTTTGTGTGGTACTAAAATAATAAATGTGGATCTCTTAAAACCTTAAGTTGAGATATGACTCAACAAATATTTCATCATTCTAGAACAAATATCTACCTTATCTACCTCTAACAAGAATCAAATTATATATATATATATTAAAATATTGAATAATTGATTATTATTTATAGATTTTGTATTTTTTTTCTTAAAATGAATGGTTGAATCATGACTTTGATATCATTTTATTCATACTATCAACAATTAATGCAAATTTAATATTTTAATAGTGATTGAGTGAGCCATATGATTTATGGCTTTTAGGTATTTTGGTTGTATCTATCGTGGTCAAAAAAGATTTAAAAATATCTGGCTCCTACATAGGTTCGAGCAAGGTTCATACAGCTTTTTGATGCTTGACACTTGACTTAGTGTTAAAAATAAATAAATAAATTTCACCATTTGAGAAAAATGGTTGTTGATATGAAGAGCTCTTATATAATAGATCATTAAAAAAAATAAGAATATTAAATTTAATCTGATATAAAATATGCCAAAAATATGTCGATATGAAAATAAAAAAAAAAAAAAGATTTTTTAAAAAATAGATTTAAAGGCACTCCCTAATTTTATATTAAGAAGTAGTCTTATATTTAACACTATCATTGTCAGGTCCCAAGTTCTGAATATGAAAAATGGAATGTTGTGTTAGGTAGTCGACATCCATGTGGGCTCCAAAAATTTGCGCCCCGGCCTCCTTGTGCATTCAAGGAGTTTTAACGGATTAAGTTCCAGGGGAAATTTTAGGAAGGCAAATAGGGTTTGTAGATAAGACAATACCCAGAGATTTCACCATCATTTTGCGAGGACTTTATGATCTAAGTTCTCGTTTCCTATAGGCGCAAGCCCCTATAGTTAATTACCCCTCCCGATCACGAGAGAGAACTTTCGATTAAGGCTAATCATCGATCAAATACGTAGAGTTCAAAGAGATATGTAATATACTGTGTATAGTAGCAACATGGGTTTGGGTATTGAAGATTTGATATTTAAAATATAAATTTCACCATTCTACACTTAAAGCGGATGGTGGAGGAATGTATAATGGACTTGATTAAGATCACATGGTTCCTTCATCCCGGATCATCATGGTCCATGATCTTCTTCGTCAGAGGAGATAGTTGACCCAACCTGACAGAAGGATCCTTGTCGGTAGTCATGGTTTGCTTCATTCAAGGTTATGTTGTAGACATGGGATGTAAGTTTGTCTAAGGGGATAAATCTAGATCTACCTTAGCTAACAGAGGGATTTGTGCACTATTGATTATATCTTATTGATTCATATATCAAGGATTTGATGCCATTGAGGAGCATATGGGCTCTGGCCATGACTGTAATTGAATGGTACCATTTGGCAACAAACCACCCGGTTCAGAAGGCCCCGGCCATAACTGTCTACCTATGGTGTCATTTAGCGACGAAACCACCGGTTAGAGGACATGTGTCATGTCCTTACTGATATGAGATGATTTGATAATGAATTCTAATGATATACTCGACCAGACATCAGCTCTTTTTGAGCTGAAGTGTATTTTCAGATTTGTCCATTTCGGCAAATTGTTGCGGAGGGTAGATTGGTTTTGCTTTAAGTATTTGAATGGTTTATTTCAATTTTAAACATTTGGATCTTTGGGATCTTTTTGGGTTTTAGATTTTAGAATTTCATGGGCATTTGGGTGGCATTTCTGAATATTTGAAATTAACTCATCCAATTGAGATTTGCATTCAACACGGCCATCATCGGGGTTTATTGGGTCATTTGAAAATATTTGTATTTTGTGACAGTTTGAGGGTATTTGAAAGAATATGATAAAGTTCCAAGAGAAATTCTATGGAGACTTCTAGAAAAGAAAGGGGTTAATAATGCATATATTCAAGTCACCCGGGTTTATGTATGCAGGAGATGTTACTTGTGTTCAAACACAAGTACTTTAGTTGGA